ATTTATTTCTTTGCAGACAGATATCTGACTTTAATGTTGGACCCCCCCCCCCTTTCACGATCACAAAGTTGTATCAAGTTTCTTTTCACAAACAGGACATATGTCTCTTGTTAGAAAAGGAAATCTTTTAAATATCGATGATTACTGATTTTTATTAGGTAATTCAGTTTCCTAATGTTCTCGGACATCTGTACAAGTCATATAACTATATACCTCTGTTTACGATTTCCGGTTTCATTTGCTCATACGGGAGTTCCCCTATTGAACAGTACAGTGTTCCATATATAAACTTGTACTTGTACTATGCCTTGTTAATTTTGTCACTTAAAACATTATTTCTAAATGAATGGTTGCTTGGTCGCTTACACAGGGTTCATCGGTAAGACTAATATTAGCAGTAGCACCACTCTCAAATATTTTTCCTCTCTCTCTCTCTCTCCCTCCCTCTCTCACTCTCTCTTAAAGATACAAACAGTATTGACACTTTAAGTTACTTAAATCCTTGACAAGTGCTCCGTTTATTCACATTGCCGAGGGGGTTAGATCAGTATTTAGTTTTTAAACTTAATCTTTAAGTATTTTTTAATCATGATTCAATTTTAACAAAAATATTACCTGTTTCGTACGTTCCATTTTTCCCCTGTATCTATCGGTGAATTGGTATTAATTTAATTGTATGTGCCGAAATTAAATTTCATCTCATTAAAATAGGTAGGCGTAGGATGTTATGATGTTAATTTAACCAGTTAGAGATTTTGGTCATAAGTTGTGAAGGTAATTCCTGGGCTAAATCCGTTCTTGAGCATAAACCATGTAAACGGGGAAGAAGGAATGTTGGCGAGTATAACAAATTAAAGTTGTGGCGCTGTGGGCCGTAATAAGGGTAAAGATGCCGTATTTCTTATAGTGTTTCAATATAAAGTCCAAGAATTGGCAAATCAGGTTTCCGAATTTATTAAAGACGATGGTGAATAACAATCAACATGAATTTTAACAATATCTTACGGGACTTGATCGAGTTGGATGTGGCCGGTAGAGCGTCTGGCCTCCAAACTGAAGAGATTAAAATGGACATAGATATTTGTAAGACTAAGAGTATACAATAATTGACTTTTGACACTAGTTGGGTTAATTGATGGACAGGTGTGTTTCTTGATAGAATAAACACGAAAGAGGTTATAAAGTAATTATACAAATAAAGTTATTGGTAAAGGATTAACAAATCCCGAGGCATTAACAGCAACAGCAACAGTTATTTCGACAGAGACACAGATTGTCAATTGGAATGTCTTAATCCTATTTCAAAGGGAATGAGATAAATAAGACACAATTAATTACAAATAAGCACATATTAAAAACAGATTAAGAATTTCACAGATGAACGTCCGAATTTAGTATAAAATATATTTAAAAGTTATTTTAATTCAAAAATGTTAATTTTTCTCGGTGATATTAACATATTAATAAGGCAGAATGCGGACTTGTCTAGTAGAATATTTTACGAAGAAGTGAAAATTGTATGTCATTAGTCCGTCGAACCAGTGCTCACAAATATTTATTTCGAACCCTCTATAAGCCCCCCCCCCTCCCTCTATGCACACACGAAACATGAAAAAAAATCTAGTATACCGGTACTTGAATATGATTTATAAAAATGTGTAAGTTTTTCGAATGATTTGATCAATTTTTACCCTTCCCGTAATCATTATTTATTTGATTCAGGTTTTATTCTTTTCAAAAGATTAAGACTATTCGCTAACTGTAGGTTCCCACTATCTTCCATGACGAGTTACCATTCATCTCTCTCTCCCCCTCCTCTCTCTCTCCAAAAAATCAATGTATCGAGCCAGGCAAAGTTTAAAATACATGTATAGTTAAACTCCGGCTGATTTTTTTACTGTCATAATACTGCTGCATATAAATTGTGTTTGATTTTTAATTATTCTTAATTACTGAGAAAAAGTTAAGGAAATATATTATGAACTATTTTTAGTTGATTGATAATCAAACAAATTCCTCACTCAACTGTCCCCCACACACAGTAACACGACTTAACAAAAAATATTAGGAACCAGTAATTTTTACAAAACTTTGGATGTAATGTACCCCTTCTCATATATTTATTTTTGCTTAAATCTTCAATCAATTTGTGCCTTTCCCCGGTTGGTTTTTACATCAATCTTCTTTTTCATTAATCGTTAAATTTATCTTACGTCGGCATATTAAAAAAAAAATTATTTAATCTAAGAAGAGGTTGAAGGATTGTACATTGCATATTAAAAATTTTGTACGTATGTGTTGGTGCTGAATTTTTTAAATTCAAACTGTCTTGAAGAAGAGTCTACCTGTCGCGTAATGTTGCGTAACTAACTTCCAGTGAAAACCGGCGAGTGTTCTTCTGTATAATTCAGCAGTGACACCTATTGTCTTCTTTACCCGCTTCTGTACACACTCGGATCGCCTCAGACGATTTCTTCTACACACAGGTGCTTCACAGAGTTTCCGATTGTATGTTGAATGATTATGTAATTCGGCTGGATACCAGCTAAACGACTTGAATAATTTTGGACGAATAAAAATCACAGGGTTACCGTAAAATCATGATACTGGTTTAAATACCGAACAAAGCTATGAAACGTCGATTTATTAAGTTAATTAAATTTATTAATTTTTTGTACCTAAACAGATAAAAAGGAGTACAAACTTAAACACGACAGTATTAATTGTGTGTTCTACTTTAATAAAATAAATAAATACATGTTCATCGTTCATCGTTTTAATTTGAAAAGACAAAAAGAAACTAGATCCATGTGAACGTCTACCGACATTTTATTGAAAAGAACATTGATATTAATTTCTATCAAAGTTTTGAAACGTTTCAGGAGTATGCATAGACAAAAGATGAAAAATATAAAATGTCATAGTTTTTCATGTTTTTGATTAAAATAACACTTTCAGGTGGGGATCCAGAAAATCCAGATTCGAAAATCAGCTACAAGATGTACATTATTTCTAAAGAATAATGCGGACAGTACTTTTATCAATGAATGTCAAAGGATCAATGATCAATGCAGGCCCGTAGCCCCCCTCCCCCTGCCAAATGAATAAAATAAAAAGTCTTTTCTTAATTTAAATCCCCCGTCTGTCTTTAAATTTTGGTTTCTTCTTGCAAATGCTTGGATTTGGGTGTGTTTGACTGCACAAAAACAAATATGGGCGGCCTCCACATAATTTAAAATTGTACATAATAAAAAAACTATAAAAAAAAATCGCCTTTCCTCAAAAGGGGGCACCCACGGCCTCACCGCGCGCTATGAGTTTATTAAAATTATTCAAACTAATTTGAATAAATTAAATCAAAATTGAATAAAACACATCTAACCTTACAGTTTAATTCTTTAATTTAATATTAAAGAAAGTCAGGGAGTCAACGTTAATTAAGAAAATATTTATAAAATGCATGTCATGTAATAACATTGTTTAATTATGAAAAGGAGAAGACCTCTGTAAAATTTCATACCTGGTATCTAACTACTAAAGAAAGATTTTTATTTTTTTTTTAATTGCTTATCTTTTTGAAGGTTTTGAAATTCTTTATCCCTTCTCTTTTTCTACAAATCAATTTTCTATAAATAGACCAAAGAAGCATTTTTTTCCCAAAGATATCATCTGGACATAGTTAAAAATTATATAAAGAAAATAAATAAATGAAATAATAATGTATGTTTAAAAAAATCAATTTCACACCACTGCAGCCTCCCCGAGAGCGAGAACAATAGGGACAGTAATTATCAGTAAATGTCAGCACTTGTCTAAGTTTTTCAGCAGGGACAGTAAACGGGTCAGTAATTGTCTAAGTTTATCAGCACCGACTAAGATTGTCAGCACTTTTCTAAGTTTATCAGTACCGGCAGTAAAAAGGTCAGTAATTGTCTAAGTTTTACAGTAACGACAGCACATTGTCAGTAATTTTCTAAGTTTGTCAGTAAAAAATGGGAATGTCAGTACGTTTTTGACTTAGTAGTGAGTATCCAAGACACTGAAGTCACAGAGCTCAAATTCCATAGATGTACACAGGTAAGTGTTAAGTCTTTGAAAATCACTAAATTGACTAATTCTGAGGTAGGTAAAAATGTAAGTATAGAGACCCCATTTTTGAAATGTCACGTGACTTTAAAGACAAAATTAGTTGTTGATAGCAAATGATTTGAAGATGGGAGACATTTTTGAGAAGCTGAAATTGAATTTAGCAAATAAGAGTGAGAGGGTGGGGGTAGGGGAGGGGGATTGTGTACTGTGGAGAGGGGGGACCAATAGTAGGGGGTATGGGGTGATGAGGGTCACATGGCCGGAGGAGGGTAGGAAGGTAGAGCTGGTGCATCGGGTTGCTCTTATGGTAGAGATGCATGGACCCCATCTCAGTTTCCAGGTAGGGGACTAGAGGTCAGCCATCTCTGCCATAAGAAGTTGTGTATCAACCCGATGCACCTCACTCGGGAGCAGCATGCCATTAATCAGGAGCGGATTCACTGTGCAGGCCAGGGTTTTTGTACTGAGGCCCACTACCCCAAGTGCATTTTTTAAAGTAATTTTTTTTATTGATAGAAGAATTTGATAAATATTAAGATATTAATCACTCAATTTAGAATAGTTGTGTTCTGGGTACTTTTTTTTCTGAGCTCGGGTTCGAGATTCCACTAGCATCATATTTTTTTTATATTTGACTTCCTCTTGGTGTTTTTCATACAGTTTGTACAGTTTTTTGCGTTTAATAACCCTTTTTGTTTTGTAGGACTGAGACTTCTGATTTGATTTATTTAACTCATAATCTTGTTGTATCTTATCTAGGGAATGGTCAACCTGGCCACCAGTGGGAATGGGGGCACCAACCCCTGCACAGAGACCTCTGATGGAGCTGCCCGGACCGTGATTAGAAGAGTGAGCAGCACTGTGCGCCCGACCAGCAAAGTTTCTCGTGAAAGTGACATTACGAGGTAGGGATCGTCGCAGAGTTCTCTGTTGAAGCTTTCGGCCTTTTGTGAGTTGCTGTTTTTGATCGTCCTGTCCAGTACAGCTGGACACAACCTCTTTGAGATGCAGGCATGGAGCCTTGCCTCGTTCTCGACTGAAGACGGTATTGTGAAATCATGACCTAAATAAGAACTCTTCCTAACCCAATTGTTACTAACTCTGCCTTTGCACACTAGAGAGTGTTTTCTGCATAATGCATGATCCCCCATGTAACACTTTACTATTGCATGTTTGGCATAAGATATTTTGTTTTTCATTTTATCTGCATCTCCGGCATATGCTGCTTGAGCTTGGTTTATCTCTGCCGTGCATCTGTCAACAGCATCAAGGGCAAAATTGTGCAAAAGTTTGGTTTTTTCTGCCTTTGTTCTTTTTGGCATGACCTCTAACAGTTTTTGATCTTTTTTGATTGACTTCCTAATATTCTCAGACAAGTGACGAGTGTCAATATAGTGTACTGGTTTATTTTGTAGCAGACCGTCCCTATAGAGGGAATCTGCAGCTCGACCAGCGGAGCTGTCCGGGTCAGTGGTTACCTCCCTTACCTCGAGGCCATCTTTGCAGAGGAGTTCCGCCATCCCCTCCCGAGCCCACGTAAACTCATCCCCTATTGTATGCTGCATGGGTAGGTTTGCCCCACACACCCCAGGACTACATTGGTGGTTAGCAGTGCCCTCCTCCAGTAAGTGGCCATGTTTGGAACAGATTTTATTTTTTGTAACCATTTTAACAATTTGGTGTTTTGATGTGACATTTTCAGCAAATGAGTACACTGTCTGTGTCGCCGGCTGGAAGGGTGTCTCACCCACCCCCGAGTACAGGGGGTTATTGTACATGCCATCACACTGTACGGGGATGGCATGTGGGGAGTCACTTCCCCTTAGAGTGTTGACATCCACCAGCTGGCGACACCGATTACTCATGTCAGCTTCATTAAGGGTCTCTATTAGGGGCATAATTTTATTTGATGTTTTTTGCAGGGACTTACGAGAAGGAGGGGGAGTGTTAGTAGAAAGAAGAATTTTCCTCATCCCATCATTGCCTATGGGGGTTTGACTTAGGCCCACCTGAAGCCCATAATTAACAGTGGCAGCTTTTCTACCCCGGGTTTTGGACTCTACCTCCTCATACAGATTATACCGCCTCGATGCATATCCACACGTGGTGCAGCAGAGGCCCAATCTGCTTCCAAGGCCTCGCCTCTCTTCGGTAGCCAGGTCCAATGATAGTTGTCCATCACAGCCTGGTTTCTCATGCCGGTGGACTCGCATGACCTCATTCCACATCTCGGCTGTTTTTCTTAGATGTAGGAGTCTATGGGAATTTTGGTTAGCCAGCCTAGGTAAATATTCAATGTTTCATTTGCTTTAAACAGGTTGGCATTGTGCAGAGCATGTGAATAGATTTTAGAGTTACTTCCCTTAGACTATCTAACAAGACATAGAGAAATTTAACATTGTGTAAATTTTTTTCTCTTGCAATTATTACTTTTAAATTTTTGTAAAATACTGATAAGGCTTTTTACTGCATGTATCAAATTTGACCCTGGATGTATTTACATGTATTTACATGTAATTGTGTGTAATATGTACCCTACCCTTATTTAGACTTTTTTTTAGTATTTAGGTAATATTTAGCTTTATAATACTTAATTTTAAAAAAATATTTTGAGAAAAAGTGATTAATTGTGATTAATTTTTTTGAAATTTGACTTACTGTTCTGATTCATTTTCATTTAGGCCCTCCTGAACACTTTCATTGTTTGGCTTCCTTGGCCTGAGGAGGTGGTGGCACTTGGGTCGCAGCGCTGAGGGAGTCACCGTCACCATCTGATGCATGTCCTCAGACAGTCTCCTGTACGGTGCAGGTAAATTTTCCTTTCGCTTACTTTTCCACCCCCTTTATTGTGAGGCACATTTTGGGGTTTGAAACCGCACTTGTTACCTTTTTGGAATTTTGGCATTTCTTTAAGTTCTCCTTTTCCAGTTTAAAATTTGAGTATTTTGGCAAATATACAGGGCTGTTTAAGGCTACAGAGACTGAACTCTAATGTGTTATCAAAATAAGGGATTTTCTCTTGTCTCAGTTAATTGTAAACAAAGAAGAGGGGGGGCACCTGCTATTTCTCCAAGTTACATTAGATAGAGGGGTGGTGAAACTTTTTGCACATACTTAATCAGCAGGGAGGACCAGATAAGAATCATTAGTTTAACTAGAGGCCTGATTGATTTACTTCTCATAATCACCAAAAAGTCGGCTAATAAATCTTTTTGAAATATCCATATTTTGCATTATTTGCTATGTTTTCATTAAATTTGGGAACTTTTCTTATGTTCTGGAAAGAATCTACCCTTATGAAAGAAATAACACAGATTGCACTTAATATCATTTTATTTACATTTAAAAACAAAATCATGTCAATTAACAAGCATTTTATTTATTACAGTCACCAATATATCCAAATATGAACACGGGTCTGACAGTCATTCACCACATTCAACTCGGCTAGTACCAGTAAGGTGTCATCAATTGAAATGGTCACAGTATCCAAGACACTGAAGTCACAGAACTCAAATTCCATAGATGTACACAGGTAAGTGTTAAGTCTTTGAAAATCACTAAATTGACTAATTCTGAGATAGGTAAAAATGTAAGTATAGAGACCCCATTTTTGAAATGTCACGTGACTTTAAAGACAAAATTAGTTGTTGATAGCAAATGATTTGAAGATGGGAGACATTTTTAGAAGCTGAAATTGAATTTAGCAAATAAGAGTGAGAGGGTGGGGGTAGGAAGGGGGATTGTGTACTGTGGAGAGGGGGGACCAAGAGAGGGGTATGGGGTGATGAGGGTCACATGGCCGGAGGAGGGTAGGAAGGTAGAGCTGGTGCATCGGGTTGCTCTTATGGTAGAGATGCGTCGGACCCCATCTCAGTTTCCAGGTAGGGGACTAGAGGTCAGCCATCTCTGCCATAAGAAGTTGTGTATCAACCCGATGCACCTCACTCGGGAGCAGCATGCCATTAATCAGGAGCGGATTCACTGTGCAGGCCAGGGTTTTTGTACTGAGGCCCACTACCCCAAGTGCATTTTTTAAAGTAATTTTTTTTATTGATAGAAGAATTTGATAAATATTAAGATATTAATCACTCAATTTAGAATAGTTGTGTTCTGGGTACTTTTTTTTCTGAGCTCGGGTTCGAGATTCCACTAGCATCATATTTTTTTTATATTTGACTTCCTTCTTGATGTTTTTCATACAGTTTGTACAGTTTTTTGCGTTTAATAACCCTTTTTGTTTTGTAGGACTGAGACTTCTGATTTGATTTATTTAACTCATAATCTTGTTGTATCTTATCTAGGAATGGTCAACCTGGCCACCAGTGGGAATGGGGGCACCAACCCCTGCACAGAGACCTCTGATGGAGCTGCCCGGACCGTGATTAGAAGAGTGAGCAGCACTGTGCGCCCGACCAGCAAAGTTTCTCGTGAAAGTGACATTACGAGGTAGGGATCGTCGCAGAGTTCTCTGTTGAAGCTTCGGCCTTTTGTGAGTTGCTGTTTTTGATCGTCCTGTCCAGTACAGCTGGACACAACCTCTTTGAGATGCAGGCATGGAGCCTTGCCTCGTTCTCGACTGAAGACGGTATTGTGAAATCATGACCTAAATAAGAACTCTTCCTAACCCAATTGTTACTAACTCTGCCTTTGCACACTAGAGAGTGTTTTCTGCATAATGCATGATCCCCCATGTAACACTTTACTATTGCATGTTTGGCATAAGATATTTTGTTTTTCATTTTATCTGCATCTCCGGCATATGCTGCTTGAGCTTGGTTTATCTCTGCCGTGCATCTGTCAACAGCATCAAGGGCAAAATTGTGCAAAAGTTTGGTTTTTTCTGCCTTTGTTCTTTTTGGCATGACCTCTAACTTTTATCTTTTTTGATTGACT